GCATACTTGGCATGCTGCATGCAAAGGAGCTTCACGCGGGGGGGGGGCAATAGCACGCTACCGAGCGACACAACAAACTTGTAGATATCCACGTATGAACATATATTGACACACGCGCGCAGCCTTTTTACAAGTGCACGCGTGCATGGGAATACGCTTACACGCGTGCGCACGCAGGTGAACATGCAGACGAATGTACACACATGTATGGACAGAATTCGTTCAATGCCAACCTCATGCATCACCCGTATATTAAAATCGTATACACTGTTGGAGGCGCCTCCGGCCGACTGGCCAGAAGATCCGAGAAAAAACATTATCCGATGGGTTGGTTATCGGACGACCTGTTAAGAAAACAACAACGATTTCTGTCCGCCTCCTGTTCTCCTAAGCACTGGCGAGAAAAGCCGGTCTTAAGTCACATTTCTGCGCGTGTATCTGGGGAGCTAACCTACTCACGTGTCCAAGCCCAAGTGGGGAGTCGAAAGGTTGCCCTCCCGACGGTCGGAAGGACGCCCTCCCGACCATGCCCCATAAACTCCGATCTCGTTCAGATACATGCGCGAGGACATGCTCGCAAGACCGGACCTCCGCACAGCGCATCTCCTGATGTGAGCCTGAGAAACGCGGTCGCTGCCGATTCGACGGCCGCCTTGCACAGGCACGGTTCAAGTGTCACGGAGTCGGTGCGTCACGGACTCGGTGCACGACGGACCTGCGAAACACGGAAACTCAAATGTCACGGATACGGTGCGGCACGGATTCGGTGCGTGGCGGCACTCCGAAACACAATTTTTTAATGTATGTAGATTACAAGTACGCATGCCTAAACATATGTGTATACATATACATAGATCCAAATGGAAAGAGAAAACATGAATCTACATAAATATGCATGTCCTGTATATACACATGCCCCATGTTTTTTTTTTTCAGAAGACGCACACACACAAGTCATTCGCCAGAGGCGCGTGGACCCTGACAGTACTGTACAACGCTGTGCTTCCACATGCGCTGATCATGCACAAGGTCAGAACTCAGATTGGCACGAAATGACTCTCTCTGCACCATGGTCGTCCACTCGTTGCGCGGACGCCCACAACGCCTCACATACCGCTGCGAAGCCGGAACTGTGGTGTTCGGGACGAACGTATGGGAGCGAAGAACATCTGCGGCAGGTGATCGGGCTACCTTCCCGTAGAGCAGCAATTGCTCCTGCAGCAAGCGCCTGTCCAAGGGTTGGCAACTGCGTCGCGCTGCGTCGTGCTTGGATACAGCGCGTGCGCGCAAAACAACATCGTCAACATCACATGCACGTGCCAAGGCCAGACGCCCCTTACACGTTTTTGAAGCTCGATCCAGCTCGGGAACTCTGCTTAAGACGCGCTGGGGAAGCGACCTCCCCAATCATGCTCGGCCTCCTCCCAAATTCGGAACGGCCTCTTCGTCCTCCTCCTCATCCTCCTGCTCCGTCTCCTCCTCCTCCTTCTCCTCCTCCTCCTCATAGCATTCCTCCTCCTCCTCCTCCTCACCACCAACACCACCGCCACCGCTGCCTCTCACCTCTGGGTCTCCCCAACCAGCACAAATGCGCTCCACATCATCCGCGCGCCCACCCTTTGATCATGATGCAGCGCTCAGCTCTGACCAGAGCAGGCCGGAGCGAGGCACTAATTCAAAGCGCCAGCTGAAAGCCGCCAGACCCATGATCCGTGTTGACCTGGCCCCTGTCACTCGCCATCGCTCGGGAGTGCATTCCCCGTGCGTTGTTCGGCTTCGTGCGTACGTGTTCCAGACAGACGACGAAACGAACCCTCCATCGGCGCGAAAGAGCAGCCCAGGCTGCGCGAGGCACGACAGGCTCTGGCTGCTGCTTGGGCCCCTGGAAAGGTCCCTTGATCCTATGGGAAGCGGGTCCTGGAACGGGCGCTTTCCCCCGGGGACAGGTTCTCGCACTGGGCCGCTCTTGGACGGCGCCGATGCCCGGGAGGGCCGTTGAAGCCCGAGGAGTGCCAACAACGATCAGTAGGAGGAGGAGGAGGAGGAGGAGGAGGAGGAGGAATGCCCAAAAGAACGCTCAGGACCCGGTGCTCTCGCGCCACGCGTCCTTCTGGCGAGATCTCTCTCGTGCCCCCCCGAGAGAAGGGCCGGGGCCACCAGTCCGCCACTGCGCCCCTGTGGCACGAAGCGGAGTGTCCCCAGGTCCACTGCTCAACCCCTGAGCCTCAGTCCTCAAAAACCCTGAGGACTCCTTAGAAAAGGGCCTACGGCAAGTTTGCGTCGTGTTGACCCCAGCGTTGGTTCCTGGCACCGCGGGGATTGCCCAAACTTGAACGATCGGCCCCTTCAAAAAGGCCGGATCGTTCAAGGATGAGCCGATTCTGGGCCACAGGCGGCGTTCAACCGTAGACGCCCGCGCTGGGGTCGCCGCCGGTCGACACGACGCGAACCTGCCGCAGACCCCAGTGCCAAATCTTCTGGAGCTCTCCGCGTGCCCCCGGGGCCCCGCTGCGGCTTCCCGCGTGAATCTTCGGGCGCAACGGGGCCCCAAGACGGGCCAGGAGGGCCCCAAGAGGCCGCCCCGACGGCCCAAGAGGGCCCCGAACCGCCGCACGATCTGTCCACCAAGATGACCCCAAGATGGCCACAAGACGGCCCAAGAAGCCTTCGAGGCGCCCCAAGAGAGCCCACTGAGCCTTCACGAGAGGGCCCCGAGAGGCCAAAATCATCGATTTCTTCTGTTCGTTCAGTGTGATGGAGGTCCTCGACAGTTCGAGATTCCGACACGCTCCACCAAGACGGCCCAAGAGGCCCCCGAGACCCTGAGAGAGGGGGGGGGGGGGCAACTTCTGATTCTAAACGGTCACGACGATTCCAATCTCGTGAAAAGCGGGCTCCCCTTGTCAGAAAACAGTGGGCTTTACATGGACTCAGCTCTCCGCTCGAACTGGAGCCAAGAGGCCCCAATGAGGGACCCAAGAGGCCCTCAAGACCGCCCCAAGGCGGCCCACTAGGCCCCAATGAGGGCCCCAAGACGGCCCAAGTTTGGGCGCCAATACGGCCTGAGAGGCGCCCAAGGAGGCGAGGGTCGGGCCCCCGTGGAGGGGTGACGGTAGCGTGGTCGGGCCCCGCAAGGGGGGGGCCCAGGCGCCGGACGACGACGACGACCAACGACGACGACGACGAAGACGACGATGAGAACGAGGACGACGACGACGACGATGATGACGACGAGGACGACGACGAAGACAAACACGACGGCCACCTCCGAAGGTCTCCTGAGGCCTCAGGAGGTTTCCAGAGGCCTCTGGAGGCGTCGTCTGGAAGCCCTTCGAGATCATCGGAAATTGCGACAACGACGACGAGAACGAGGACGATGACGACGACGACGACGACGACGACGACGACGAGAACGACGAGGACGAGGACGAGGACGAGGACGACGAGGACGAGGACGAGGACGACGACGACGACTGCGACGACGACGACGACGACGACGAGAACGAAGACGACGACGACGACGAAGACGACGACGTTGACGAGGACGACGACGAGCACGATAACGAGAGCAAGGACGACGACGACGAAGACGACGAGGGCGACGACGACGACGACGAACACGACGGCCACCTCTGAAGGTCTCCAGAGGTCTGCAGAGGCCTAAGGAGGTCTCCAGAGGCCTCTGGAGGCGTAGTCTGGAAGCCCTTCGAGGTCATCGGAAATTACGACGACGACGACGACGAGAACGCGGACGACGACGACGACGACGAGAACGACGCCGACGACGACGACGAGGACGAGGACGAGGACGAGGACGACGACGACGACGACTACGACGACGACGACGACGAGGGCGACGAGGACGACGACGACGACGACGACGAACACGACGGCCACCTCTGAAGGTCTCCAGAGGTCTGCAGAGGCCTAAGGAGGTCTCCAGAGGCCACTGGAGGCGTCGTCTGGAAGCCCTTCGAGGTCATCGGAAATTACGACGACGACGAGAACGAGGACGAGGACGACGACGACGAGAACGACGCCGCCGACGCCGACGACGACGACGAGGACGAGGACGAGGACGAGGACGACGACGACGACGACGAAGACGACGACCACGACTACGACTACGACGACGACGAGAACGAGAACGAGAAGGAGGACGAGGACGACGAGGACGACGACGACGAGGACGACGACGACGACGACGACAACGACAACGACAACGATGACGACGACGACGACGACGAGCACGAGAACGAGAGCAAGGACGACGAAGACGACGACGACGACAAATCAAGATGACGACGACAAACAACGACGACGACGACCACCACCACCACCACCACCACCACCACCCCGACGATCACGGCGGTCGGAAGATGGGGTAGGGGGAGCGGGAGGAGAAGGGGAAGGAAAAAAAAGGCCCTTCCCCCTGGAGGCGGTCGGGGGGTCGGAGACGCATGGAGCCCGAGAGAATCGGCCAACCGGGGAGATGAAGACAGATCCGCTCAAGATCGGTCACTGGACCCCTCTCGAGGGTCCATCTGTTGCAGTTTTATCACCCCAGAAGCGCTTTCGACAGCCCTGGGGCCCGGAAACGGCGCCCAGAGACCGAAAAAGGTAGACAACCTTCTCGAACCCAGGACCTCGAACCTCGCCCCCCTTTCATGCTCGCTGGAACCCATGCTGGGCCACCTCAGACCCCCAGCCAGCTCCAACCTTCCCCTTCCACCACCCCCTCCGCGTCCTCCTCCACCTCCACGTCCACGTCAACCTCCAAGTCCCAGCTCCACCTCCACGTCCACCTCCACCTCCACCTCTCCACGTCCACCCTCCACCCTCCACCGTCCACCTCCACCTCCACCCTCCACGCCCACCTCCACCTCAACCCCTTCCCCACGTCCACCTCCACCCTCCACGTCCACGTCCACGTCCACCTCCACCCCTTCTCCACGTCCACGTCCACGTGCACCTCCACGTCCCCAGCTCGCTCACCCGCCTCAGGAGCCCGCCAGCCTGTCGGGGACCTCCGCCCCCGGCTCCTCGCCCTTGCCGTCCCTGCGCGGCACCGCCGCCGCCGCCGCCGCCGAGATCGTCGTCGCCGGCGCCGTCGCCGCCGCAGGCGCCGCCGTCGTCGGCGGGAACCAGCGGTGGCATCGTCGTCGAGGAGGCCCCCAAGAGACCCCAGAGGCCCCCAGGAAGCTCCCAGGAGACCCCAAAAATGCCTTGAGGCTCCCAAGAAGCCCTATCCTCCATCCGTTTCCCAGATGGACGACTCATCCCCGTCGACTCCCCAGACGTGTCGGCAGGGCGGGCCGGGCGTTGCGCCCGAGACTCCCTCACAACTAATGACCCCGAAGCTTAAAAGCTTGCAACGATTTCACGGATGCAGGGCGGCTCCTTTCCAAAATGTGGCTCTCGCCTTAGCGCCGCGTTCATTTGTTTTCAGAGGTTGAGAGAGTTTCAAAGATGGAGGGCGGATCCGCTTCAAAATGAGACTCTGGCCTTAGCGCCGCGTGCATTCGTCCTAAAAGCTTGCAGCAGTTTCACGGCCATAGGGCGGCTCTTTGTCAAAATGTGGCTCTCACCTTCGCGACACGCACATTCGTCTGCAAAGTTTGCAACGATTTCCAGGATTCGTATGGTTGAAGTTCCCAGAATTGCGTTCTGGCACGACGAAGGACTGTCAAGACGCAAAAGCCACATTGACTCGCAATGCTCAAGTTTCAGGAATGGCATTATGGCACGATCTTGAACTGCCAGGACGCAACAGTCACGTTGACTCGCGGCGCTGATGTCCCAATAATGGCGTCTTTGCGAGATTGACAATTCTCAAACGGTTGTCTTCGAATGGAGCATTTCCCGTAAAGAAAGTAGATTCGTGTAAGGACCTACGGAGAAAGAAGTTGGAGGGAGGGTTATACGCTTTGGGTTTACGCTGGTCCTCTTCTCTCTCCTCCTCCTCATCATCAGTATCATACTCGTATCCTCGTCCTCCTCTTCCTCCTCCTGCTCCTCATCCTCGTCCATCTCCTCCTCCTCCACCTCCTCCTCCTCCTCCACCCACTCCTCTTTGTCATCCTTCACCTCCTCCCCCTCCCCCTCCTCCTCCTCCTCCTCCTCCTCCTCCTCCTCATCCTCATCCTCCTCATGTTCATCATCATCAGCAGCAGCAGCATCAGCATCAGCATGAGCATCATAATAATCAGCATCATCATGAGCAGCATCAGCATCAGCATCATCCGCATCATCATCATCATCATCATCATCATCATCATCATCATCATCATCATCATCATCATCAGCAGCAGCATCATCAACAGCATCATCATCATCATCATCATCATCATCATCATCATCATGATCATCATCATCATCATCATCATCAGCATCATCATCATCATCATCATCATCATCCTCATCATCCTCATCATCATCACCATCATCATCATCATCATCATCATCATCCTCATCATCCTCGTCATCCTCATCATCATCATCATCATCATCACCACCACCACCACCACCACCACCACCACCATCATCATCATCATCATCATCATCATCATCATCGTCAAAATCACTAGCATCATGCTCCTACTCGTCCTCCTCCTCCTCCTCACCCTCATCCTCATCGTCATCCTCATCCTCATCCTCATCATCCCTCTCCTGATGCTCTCCCTCATCCTCCCCTAACTGTTCCCCGAAGGGCTCCCACTACGGATCGGGGAACAGATGGCTCGATAGCTGTTCCAAGCTTTGGCCACAGCGTTCGGCCGCATCGGTGCTCCCGAAAGGCAGAGGGCGGCGGTGATTCGCCCTAGGCGTCTTCGATCCACCGCCCCATGTAGCCTACCAGAGGAGTGCGCGGCGTGCAGGACGTTGGGTTATTTAGGTCATGCAAAAACTCCCAATGGCCTCTGGCCCAGCCCGCCAGCGACCTGAAAAGTATGGGAAATTCGGTGTGTCCCACCGGTTTTGCCACGCAAGACGTCGCCACAAGAGTCTCCAAGACGGCCAAGATGGCCTCCAAGATGGATCAGATAAGCCCAAGAGAATCCAAGATGCCCCCAAGATGTCTCCAAGGCGGCCCAAGATGCACACAAGACAGCGTGTGGCCTCACCGCCAAGACGCCCCAAGAGGGCTCCAAGAAAACCTCAGGAAGCCCCCAGGAGGCTCTTCCCAAGTCCCCACGAGGATCCCAAGAAACTCCCAGGAAGCCACAAGACGGCCTCAAGAGACATTATTGTCCTCCTCATCCTCCTCATCCTTCTCTTCCTCCTCATCCTCCTCCTCTTCCTTCTCTTCCACCATCTTCTCCTTCCACTCCCTCTCATCCTCCTGTGCCTTTCCCTCGCAAGTATTCCCCCAAGGGGGTCCACAACGGCTGTGGCATCACATAGTCCAATAGCTTGGCCAGACTTTGGCCCAACGCATGGCCACATGGGCGCGGCGGTGGTTCGGCGTAGGAGGCTTCAAGAACTCCTCCCTGTCGCATCACCAGACGTATCGTTGGGGCGGCCAGGGTATTTCGCCTGAAACATTTTCATTGTTTAAGTACGATGCTGGAGCTTCAAATTTCCAACGTTCACACGGCTCAAAATCAGGTTGTTTTCGCAACGGGGACTCCTCCTTGGAACCGTGCACACTCGTCCCAAACAAAAATCAAAGTCAAACGACTCGAGGTCGGATAGCTTTCAACAGAGCCCTCGCCCAGGCGCCGCGCACAATCGTCTTAAACATTCCCAGCAGCCATACGGATGGAGGGCGATTCATTGTCACAAGGGAGCTCTGGCTTAGGACTTCCTGAACTGTTGCATGTAGGTAACACTGAATTGCGTGCACACCTTTTCCCAACAACTACACGAGTGGAGGACAGTACCCTTTCAAAACGGTGGTCTCGCTTGGGGCGTCCTACTCTGTCTCACCAGACACTCCCAAGTGTGAGGCAGCTACACAGATGGAGAGCGGCATTTTTCAAAACGGATCTATCGCATACGTCCTTTGTCTGTAATTACCAGACGTTTGAACTGTTGCACCAGTTACACGGACGGATGGATGTCCTTCTCGACATGGGATTCGCACTGGGGACGACATGTGATTGATTGGCCAGAAGTCTGACAAGCGCGAAGCTGCTGCACGCATTGAGGGCGGCTCTTTCAGAGCAGAGCTGTCGCTGGACACTTCCCTAAGAACTTTATGGACCCACCTCGTCGAACCCCTTGTAGCTCGAAGGATTTGGGAGTCCCGAAACGGTGCGGTGACAGACCGTGCGGTGACCTCGAAATCTCCGAGGACCTCACCGCACGGTCCGTCACTGCACGGTCTTGGGACCTCGGAGGCCCAGTCGCCCGAGGCGTCCTCGGAGAACGACCCGAGTCCCAAAAGCGTGCGGTGACCCCGAATCCCCTCACCGCACGGTGTGGTCACCGCCCCGTTTGGGGACCCACGAAGGATGGAGCACCGCTCCTTTTCAGACTTGGGCTCCGGGGCGAACTGCGGTGCCATGGGGCTCTCGCCTTTCAAGGGGGGCGCTCCCCGCAGTGGAGAATCATCGCTGTGATGGGCTTTTACTTCGGACGGGAGAGTGCACTGCATCACCGTTGAAACATTCGAGGTTCCCCCTGCCCCCCGTTCTCCACCACTGCCTCGTCCAACGTCCACCTCTTACTCCATTTCCCCCCCAATCCCTGGTCCCAACCCTCCGTCATCCCCCTCCACTTCCACCTGGTCTTCCTCCTTCCTCTTCATCCTCTCTCTCTCTCTCTCTTTCGCTCGCTTCTCTTCCAGATTCTCCTCCTCATCCCTCCTCCTCCTCCTCCTCATGCTCCTTCTCCTCCTCCTCCCTCTCCTGCTCTCCCTGCTCCTCCACTGTTCTTCTGCTGGCGCTGCGAAGCACGGCCTACCCCCACCCGCACGCTCCGACACGGCCGAGGCGCGCAGCGAAGATGGCACTCGGCGCAGCGGCGACGGGACGAAAACGGCGACGACCACGACGACCACGACCACGACGACGTAGACCCGGGCCACGATGGCGACGACGACGGCCACGGCCACAACAGCGCCGGCGACGACAACGACGACGACGACGCCGACGCCGACCACGACGCCGACGACGACCACGGACGACGGCGACGGCGGCGGCAGCGACCGAGGGTGCGGCGGGGGCGCCTCGAGACCGTGCCCTCCCGCGCCGATGCGCCCGCGGCCTCCGCCTGCAGGGGCCCCTTGGCGAGCGGCCAGTACACCTGCAGCCGCCGCCGCCGCCGACGACGACGACGATGACGACGACCACGACAACTTCAACCACGACGACTGCGCCGACGCCGCCGCGGCTGGCAGCGACGACCACGACGACGACAACGACGACGACGACGACGACGACGACGACCACAACGACCACGACAATATCCATGAGGACGACGACGACGACGACGACGACAACCATGACGACGACAACCATGACGATCACCACGACGACGACGACGACGACGACGGCGACGCCGACGGCGGCGAATGACGACGACGACGCCGACGACGACCAAGACGACGACGCCGCCGCTGGCGATGACGACGACGACGCCGACGACGACCACGACGACCACGACGATCACAACGACGGCAACCTCGACGACGACGACGGCGCCGACGGCGACAACGACAACGACGACCATGACGACGACGACGACGACCACGACGACGACGACGGCGACGACGACGACAACGACGGCGCCGACGACAGCAACGACGACGACGACGCCGAGGACGACGACGACGACGAGGACAACGGCCACGACGACGACGACGACCACCACTACGACGGCGGCGACGATGACGACGACGACGGCGACAATGACGCCGCCGCCAGCGACGACGACGACGACGATGCTGTCGAAGACCATCACCACGACGACGACCACGTGGACGACGACGACGACAACCACGACGGCGTTGGTGACGACGACGAAGACGACGACGACGACAATGACGCCGTCGCCAGCGACGACGACGACGCTGTCGAAGACCATCACCACGGCGACGAACACGACGACGACGACCTCAATGACGGCGACGGCAACGACAGAGACGACGCAGTCGTTGCCGCTGGCGACGACCACGACGAAACTGCCACCGCTGTTGACCATGACGACGACGCCTGCGTGTCGGATGCTTCTGGGCGCTTCTGAAGGATCTCGCCGCCAAGGTTAAACGCAGCTTGGAAAACTGGCCAGGATCGACCCACGAAGGAGTCTGGGGACCGACTTTGACAGAGTTTGGGGGGGACCACGACGACCACGACCACGACCACGATCACGACCACGACCACGACCGCGAGGACCACGACCGCGTTCACGACGACGACCACGTCACTGCTGCGGCGCCAGCGGCGGCGACGGCGGCGGCGGCGATAGCGGCGACGGCGGCGGACTGCGATGGCGGCAGCGGCGCCGGTGGCGGCATCGATTCTCGATGACAAATGGCGGCGACCGCGCCGACGACCACGATCATCGACGACCAGGGCGAACGGCGACGGCTGCGGCGGAGGGCGACGAACGCAGAGCTTGTGGGGAGGGGAGCACACGCGCGCAGGGGCCCAAGCCAAGGGCCGGCGCCTGGTCGTGCGATGCGGGTGCCCTGCGGCCCATCATGAGGTCATCCACCACCATGACGCCTTGGAACACCTTCGCTTCGCAGAACGAGTAAGACATTGGCAAAGAAGAAGCTGCTGCATCGCAGCAGCTGCAGTAACGACTGCCAGCGTGGACCCAAAACGGTGCGATCTTGCGCTATGGATGCGAAACGCATGTGATGCGGGTTACGTGGTGCACGCCACGCGTTGCAAGCAAAACTATGCAGTGTATATGGTGCGGCGCATTCTATGAGGACCCGATCGAGTGGCTATACGGGAATGGAACGTCAGGGTAGGAGCAGCAGTGGTAAAGAGGACTCGGAGAAGGACCCCTCCGCCCCACCCCTGGCCCCCCTGACCTCCGCGTGCTCCCCCACACCACACACACATCCTCATCCCATTGCCCCTACGCCTCCCACTCCTCTTCCCCTCGGGATCATACTTCCACAGTCTACTTCACTCTATCTCTCTCTCTCTCTCTCCCTTTCTCTCTCACTCTCTTTCTCTTTCTCTCGGCGTATTCCCCCCGTTTCCACCATGTTTATCCTCCTCATCCTCCTCCTACGCACTCCTCCATTTTGTTCCTTGTGAATAACTCCACCCTGTCGCACCACGAGGCCAGTCGGAAGGGCGGGCCAGGCGTTTCGCCTGAGACTTCCTTACGATTTATGAACCTGAAGCTGGAAAACTGGCACCAGTTTCACAAATGGAGGGCGGGTCGCTTCCAAAATGCGGCTCTCGCCCTAGCGCCGCGCACATTCGCTTCAACAAGTTGCAAGAACGCTGCGGATTGAGGGCGGGTGGTTTTCAAAATGTGGCTCTCGCCTTTGCGCCGCGCACATTCGTTACAAACATTAGCAAGGACTTCCACGGATTGAGGGCGGTTACTTATCACAATGTGGCTCTCGTCTTAGCGCCGCGAACATTCGTTTTCCAAAGGTGCAAGACTTCACGGATTCATGGCGGTTCCTGTTCACAATGTGATTCTCGCCTTGGCGCCGCTCACATTCGTTTTAACACTTTGCACGCGTTTCATCGGTTCTCATGTTAACGTACCAGAAATGGCGTTTTGGAACGATTCTGGACTGTCAGGGCGCGACACTTACGTTGACTGGCGGTGTTGAAGTCTCAGGAACGGTATTCTGGCACGATTCGGGATCCGCAAGACGCAAAGTCAGGTTGACTCGTGGTGTTGAAGTCCTGAGAATGGAATTTGGCACGATTCAGGATTATCACACAGTTGTCCACCAACGGGGCATTTCCCTCAGTGGACAAGAACCCTTGTAGGGACCTATGAAGAGGGCGCTTGGAGGGAGGGTGTATCCCAACATCGCTGATGAGTCTTGAGTTTACACTGGTCCTCCTCCTCCTCCTGCTCCTTGTCCTACTCACCTTAATCCTCCTCATTCTCCATCTCTTATTCCTCCTCCTCCTCCTTCTCCGTAGCCATTGTGGCTCGAGCCATTTTGGCTCAAGTCATTGGCTCAAGGGGGGCGCCGCGGCGCGGGGCCGTGGCATGACGGAGCCGCAGGCCTACGCGGACTGCCAGCTGGCTCAGCGTGACACCACGCGGGGTTCATGATCGGGCAGCTGTTCAAGAAGATCGGGATTGGCGCGTCTCGGGACTTCCTCCTTCAGGTCGTCCTCTGCGATGGCGCGGAGCAAGGCGGCGGCCACCAAGCCGGGCATCAAGGACGACAGGGCACACATGGCGGTGCTCAGGGAGAACGGCCCCAGGAGGGTGCGGTCGCGAATCCGACGGCCCCCACACCAGGCTCGTGTGCTGGAAGCTTGAAGGGAGGAGGGCATCTTCTATGACCCGCTGAAGGGGTCGATCCTCCGTGCTTCGGAGTCGGACGAGGAGTTGGAGGCCAAGGAGATGAAGGACTCGGAGGCCGTGGGAGTCTGGCAGCGGGATGCTGGCCTCGGAGGGCCCCGAGAAGATGAAGTACAAGGCCAAGGACCTCGAGATCAAGCCGCGCTCAAAACTTCGCTCAAGATCACCTGGGCACCTCCGAGGCCGTGAACGTCGGCTACGGGAAGCTGGAGTTGAACGGCTCGGGGAAGCTGAAGGACAGCAGGAAGAAGGTGAAGGTGAGCAAAAAGACGAAGTGCAGGCTGCAGTCGGAGACAGAGGGCAAAACGCTACCCCGCCGCAGGAGCAGGAGCAGCAGCAGCGGAAGCAGATCGGAGCGATGGCGGACTTGGGCTCGGCCAAATCGCTGGACTCGCAATCGGCAGGTGGTGGCAGATACGGCGACGCCCAGCGGTTCCACATAGGCTCTGATGGCGGCGATGTCGACCAGGAGATGGTCGAGAGGGTCACTACCCTGGACTCGGCGACGGCTGTCGAGACGATGACCACTCAGGGTGAAGGAGGTCAAGATCTACAAGGGGGCCCTGGCGGAGTTCGTGACGCTGGTGGCGTGTCACCGGTGAGGTGAGCATCCTGGTAAGGATGCAGACGCTGCAGCTGGGGAAGCTCTGGGAGGGGATGGGCTGCTTGGTGAGCCTGCAGATGCTGCAGCTGGGGCGGCCCCTGCCACTGAGAAGAACCCGCGGGGCATGAACCCCGTCAGGGTGCTGAAGGCCCTGCGGACCATGTCTGGTGACGACTTCGCGGCCCTCCAGGCGGAGCTCGACCTCGGGGGCGTGGACCGCTCCAGCCTCGAGGTGCGGTTCCAGCACATGGACGGGGCCGAGTTCGAGTTTTGAGGTCGGGGGGGTCTGCTTCAGTTAGCGGGGTCCTGTGGGGCTCTTGTCTGGTCGTGGTCGCTTCCGCCTGGGGTTCCTGGTTCAGCCGCATCGTCCTCCTGCGAATCATAATCACAAGTGTCCTCATACGCACCACCTTTTACCCGTATCAGCATCATGACCCCAACCAGCATCACCGCGCGAATCGTCGTCGTCATCTTCACCAAAACCACTTACGGTATCATTGCTCCTGCTTCTGCGGCCACCCCTCCCCTGCACCATTATCCCCCAGTATCCTACTCATACTGATCTTCGTATTCCTCCTCCTCCTCCTCCTCCTCCTCCTCCTCCTCCTCCTCCTCCTCCATGACGCCTCCCGCCCATCACTCCCTCCTGGGAAGTACCCAGGGCGTACTGGGCTCGTCCTGCTCAGCCACTATCTACACGATGGATGGCTGCTCTAACCTCCCTCGGAGGGAGGTTAGGGAGGGAGGGAGGGAGTCCCTCCCTCCCTCGCTCCCCCCCTCCCTCCCTGCCTCGTCCCGTCCCTCCCTCCCTCCTCCCCGCCAGCGAGCGACGCGATGCAGCCTGGTAGCCCAGCACGACGGCCGTCTCTACGATGCCAAACAGCAGAGCCCTGGTGTCGTTCCCAAGGTTCTCCGCCTGGCCAAAGGAAGCCGTGCGGGGAGCGACGGAAGGAGGGGATGATGATGACAACGACGTGCCGCAGAGGGCGGGCTTCCTGCACCAAGGCTCGACCAAAACAATGCTTATCGTGCACGTTTTGTGTCCGGTTTCCCTCGTGTTGCCCCCCACCGCCCTTCCTTCGAAACAAAATCAAACGAAAACACTGCCCACGAGATCGCTGAAACACCGTTGAGGTCGAGCCCTGTCCTGCACACTCTCCCCTCGTGGCTCCTGTTCCACAAGTGCTCGTCATGCTCGGCTCCGCGCCAAGAATCATCAAACCCACGCTGTGCCCACGGCCCCCGCGCTGCCGGCGCCTCGCACCAGCGGAGAAGGAGGGACGATGAGGAGGAGGGAGAGGAGGAGGGAGAGGAGGATGAGGAGAGAAGAGAGAGAAGAGAAGAGAAGAGAAGAGAAGAGAAGAGAAGAGAAGAGAAGAGAAGAGAAGAGAAGAGAAGAGAAGAGAAGAGAAGAGAAGAGAAGAGAAGAGAAGAGAAGAGAAGAGAAGAGAAGAGAAGATAAGAGAAGAGAAGAGAAGAGAAGAGAGGAGAGAAAAGAAGAGAATAAGAGAGAAAGAAGAGAAGAGAAGAGAAGATAAGAGAAGATAAGAGAATAGAAGAGAATATAATAAAAAAGGAGAGGAGAAGAGAAGAGATGAGAAGAGAAGAGAAGAGAAAAGAGAAGATAAGAGAAGAGAAGAGAGGAGGGGAGAGAAAGAGAAGAGAAGAGAAGAGAAGAGAAGAGAAGAGAAGAGAAGAGAAGAGAAGAGAAGAGAAGAGAAGAGAAGAGAAGAGAAGAGAAGAGAAGAGAAGAGAAGAGAAGAGAAGAGAAGAGAAGAGAAGAGAAGAGAAGAGAAGAGAAGAGAAGAGAAGAGAAGAGAAGAAGAGAAGAGACGAGAAGAGAAGAGAAGAGAAGAGAAGAGAAGAGAAGAGAAGAGAAGAGAAGAGAAGAGAAGAGAAGAAAAGAGAAGAGAAGAGAAGAGAAGATAAGATAAGATAAGAGAAGAGAGAAGAGAATATAAGAGAAGAGAAGAGAAGAGAAGAGATAAGAAAAGAAAAGAGGGAAGAGAAGAGAAAATAAGAGAAGAGAAGAGGTAAGAGAAGAGAAGAGAAGAGAAGAGGGAAAGGAAGAGGAGAGAAGAGAAGCGAAGAGAAGAGAAGAGCAGAGCAGAGCAGAGCAGAGCAGAGCAGAGCAGAGCAGAGAAGAGAAGAGAAGAGAAGAGAAGAGGAGAGAAGATACGATAAGAGAAGAGAAGAGAAGAGAGAAGAGAAGAGAAGATACGAGAAGAGAGGAGAGGAGAGAAGAGAAGAGACGAGACGAGACGAGACGAGACGAGCCGAGAAGAGAAGAGAAGAGAAGAGAAGAGAAGATAATAGAAGAGAAGAGAAGAGAAGAGAAGAGAAGAGAAGAGAAGAGAAGAGAAGAGAAGAGAAGAGGAGGAGTTTGCGGCCCCCTGGGGCCGCAAACTCCAGCACGCAAGCGTCCTGTGCATCGTAGATGGCGTGCAAGGCCCACCACGCGTCCCGCGGAAAGTAGCTGGCCACCCGGAAGCGCTGCATCAGAAGTGCGGCCGCCGTGGTGGTGAAGGAGCCGGGCAGGAGTACCTCGAAGCAGATCCGAGGGATGGCAGGCGAGCTCAGCGGACTTCGCCGGTGCTGCCTCGCCGTGATGTCCTGCAGCCCCAGCAGGGCCAACCGCCCGAGGAGCATCGGTAGGTCGTCCATCCTCGTGTCAAGCGTCGCTGTCTGCAGCCTTGGCAGGGTGAGGAACGGCTCCGCTGCGAGGTGAATGCATGGTGGCTGCCTGGGGCCGTCATGAGCAAGAGGGAAGATTGCGATCCCTTCGTGCCGCAGCCTGGGCCCGGCGGGGCCGCTGCGAATGAGCTCCATCGGGATTGGGGTGATCCTGCAGCGGCGAACCACGGGTGCCCATTTGGGGGCCAACAAGGGGTGCCACCAAAGGTCCATGATCGCGTGGAGGTCGCGCATGCCCGACAAGAGCCCTAGGGGAGCGATCAGGCGGCAGACTGACCACTACGGCGCCTCAATTGATGCTGTTCGTGGCGATCCCGCATGTGTCAAACACGCGGCCACGTCCATGTGGCAGCGCGGTGGGACAACGGGGCACCAGCGCAACAATCGTATGAAACGTTGATAGTATGCCGCGTTGCTTCTAATGTATGTGCAAGTCAAGCTACCGCGCCTTACATGTCCACGATCCAGATGGATAGCCGGCTGGAAGGCCCTTCAATGCCTTGCGGCGTTTTCTCCTAGTCGGAATCGGTCGATAACCCTGTTGGGGCGGCGAGTCCTTGTTTTCCAGCGCGTTGGGGGGAGAGCGCCTGATCTGCCGATAGCTCCTTTTTTCGGCTGACCCATGACCTTCACCGCGCTGGATTCCAAAATCCCGGGGTCAGCCAAAATTGCAAAATGCGACATGCAAAAAAAAACAAGTTGGAAAATGTTGCCGACTCTACAATGGTGTCAAATAATAATATGTGCACGGGTCCTTGGTGCTGATGCCATGGGCTCAAGTGGATTCCAGAAGTCAAAGATGAGCCAAAATAGCAAAACAACTAGTGCTCATATTTTCTCGTGACAAGCAGAATTCCTCGAGGCAGAAAATGCAATGTCGGCTGATCCCTGGTTGTGAGGTTCTGGGCCCACGTGAGTTCAACAACATGGGATCAACAGAATTCGTAGCAACTATGTGTTAGCCATTGTTTAGCTATGTAGAAGGGTGTTACAAACAGATATGTGCTTTAAAGTTCGACTGATGCCATGATTCTGGAATCCAGTGCTATGAGCGCCCTTGCGTTTTAAGCAGAAGAGGAACACGCCAGTGCTGAAGCACATGCGAGAGACGAAGCATCAGGGCAACACCTAAGAACTCGCCGATTGGGGGTACGTCCGAAGGTGGCGGGGGGATGGCTGGGAACACCCCTGGCCCTTCCCCTCCCTCACCCCTGGTCGTCCGCACCCACCCAACCCCTTCCCGTCCCCCTCCCCCTCATCCTCCCCATGCTCCCCCCACCCCCTTCCTCCTCCTCCTTCTCCTCCTCCTCCTCCTCCTTCATCCTCGAACCATGATCCTATGTCCTAGATGCTCCTCCCCCCACCCCCCTCCTCCCCCCGTCTGATGTTAGTCAGACGTTGGGCGGGGCTCGCAGCGTCATGCACCATGACTTGTGTAGGTAAGAAAGACAAAACCTTTGAGATATTCAACCGCAACTCAAGATAAAATGGTGCAACCCAGCGCCAAAAATTTCAGAGAGAGAGAGGGTACAAGGTGGACAAAGAATATGATCACGAGGAAGCTTAGCCAGGATGCCCTGGCCGAGTAGGAACACGCAAGGTGACCCTCCTCCTCCTCCTCCTCCTCCTCCTCCTCCTCCTCCTCCTCCTCCTCCTCCTTGGGGGTGCTCGGCGCCGCAAGCCCTCTGCATCCCCCCCCCCCCGTGGAGGAGCACAACGACGACGACGACAACGACGACGACGACGACGACGAGACCGACTAGGAGGGGGGCCAGGATGTCCGCCTCCCTCCTAGCGGGGCCAGCGCCGCCTTCCACGCTCCAGCGACCACGGCCATGAGGTGTACGACGAGCACTACCTTGGAGGCAATGGGCCCTCCTGCTCCTCATCATCATCATTATCCTCCTCCTCTTCCTCCTCCTCGTCCTCCGCATCCTCCTCCTCATCCGCATCATCAACCTCATCCTCCTCATACGTACCTTCTGCATTCATCCTCGTCCGTTCTCCCCTCCTTCTTCATTCCTTGCTGCGTTCCTTCGTTGCGTCCTTCCTTGTTGGGTTCCGTACTTCCCTCTTTCCGTCCGACTCATCCGCCTCCTTCTCCTCCTCATCATCATCCTCCTCCGCCCTCCCTCCTGTTTCGCCTTCCTCCACCCTCCCTCCCTCCCTCCCTCCCTCTCTCCCCCTCCTCATCCGCTTCCCCTCCCCCCTCCTCCTCCCCCTCCCCCTCCTCACCCTCCCCTTCCTCCTCTTGTTCCTCCTCCTCCTCCTCCTCCTCCTCCTGGTCATCATCAGCATACTGTTCAGCAGCAGGATCCGCATCATCATAATCATCATCATCATCATCATCAGCATCATCCTCAACCTCATCATCATCATCATCATCATCATCATCATCATCATCATCATCGTCATCATCATCATCATCATCACCACCACCACCACCACCAAACCCACCACCACCACCACCATCATCATCATCATCATCATCATCACCACCACCACCATCATCATCATCATCATCATCATCAGCATCATCATCATCATCGTCATCGTCGTCGTGATCATCATCATCATGAACAGCATCATCATCATCATCATCATCAACATCATCAGCATCATCGTCATCGCCATCATCATCAATATCAATATTATCAGAATCATCATCAGCATCATCATCATCAGATTCACCATCATCAGCAGCAGTATCATCATCAGCATCATCATCATCCGCAGCATCAGCATCGTCATTATCTCCATCATCATCAGCATCATCAGCACCATCATCATCAGCACCATCATCGTCATCGTCATCGTCATCAGCAGCATCATCAGCATCATCATCAGCATCATCATCAGCATCATCATCGTCATCATTATCATCAGAAACATCATCATCAGCAGAATCAGCATCGTCAGCATCATCATCAGCAGCAGCATCGACATCAATAGCATCAGCATCATCATCATCATCGTCATCATCAGCGGCACGACCACAACAACCACCACCACCATCGTCATCATCATCATCATCACCATCAGCATCAGCATCGCCATCATCCTCATAATCATCATTGTCAGCATCATCAACACAGCATCATAATCAGCATCATCCGCATAATCCGAATCATCATCCGCATAATCAGCATCAGCACCATCACCATCATCCGCATAATCAAAATCATCCGCATCAGCATCAGCATCATAATCATGATCACCGTCATCATCAGTCAATATCACCACCATCACCATCAACCTCACCATCACCATCACCGTCACCATTACCACCACCATCACCATCACCGTCACCATCACTGACCGGCACCAGCCTCATCATCATCATCATCATCATCACCATCATCACGGGCATCATCATAATCAGCATCATCACGTGTTTAACACGTGTCCCCATATTTTCCGATGCCAGCAGACTCAGTAAATCAGGCGAGCGATCGATAAAGCATGCTATCGAACACGGCCCAGCGCTGCTCAAGCAGCCGCCTCCAAGCCCCTGTGAGCGAGGGGCCACACTTGCCAGCAGGGGAGAGGAGCAGGGGAGGGCAGGGAGGGACAACCGTCTTCAAGTTTTTGGCAGAGCCCAAAAACGGCAGCGGAACGGAGACACTCGAGAACACATTAACCAGCACGCAGGGCCATGTGTTTAACACGTGTCCCCATATTTTCCGATGCCAGCAGACTCAGTAAATCAGGCGAGCGATCGATAAAGCATGCTATCGAACACGGCCCAGCGCTGCTCAAGCAGCCGCCTCCAAGCCCCAAGCCCATTTACATAAATGAACCGGGGGGGAGGGCGGGTAACTTAAAACCAAATCGGCTAAAAAGTTAATAACCCCAGGGCTGCAGTGTTGTTGTTATACAGTTTGACGGCAGAGAATGTGGGCGAATTTATCACAGAACCTGACGGGATAGGCGGAAGCCTTCTCAGAATGAAAGATGCCACACTCATCTTTTCCTGCGATCTCCACATGAGGCTGGTTTGTGAACGAGCATACTCCACGACCGTGACACCGATCCGAACGAAGGCCGTCGAGCACACAATTAGCATACAACAACCGAGTCCGCTTGCGGTAACACGATCCAAAGGCACAATGATCCCAGTCAATAAAGTTATGTTTTGTCAATAAAGCCTGGAAGCGGGGGTGCAGCCACAACATAGACCCCTGGGGATTCTCAATGATAACAGGGACCCCAAGCGACACGAGTCTGGAGAACAGGCTGGCGGCCCACTCGGCCTGACGGTTACCCAACTTTACTTTGCCTTGATCTTTCTCAGAGAGTCCAGGGAGCCCCAAGATGCACTCGGGTGAGCGGATAGGTCCCGGCCAGTTTCCAGGATGGGGGTTCCGCCTCGCCCGGGACCACGATGTGCACACGAGCCCGATCCAGACAAACTTGAGGCCTCGCCCAGCGACTGCGAGGAGGAGCTGGAAAACATCAGGATGAAGCGCGTCTTCCAACGGAGAGTCGGCGAAGTCGAATGAGCGCATGGGCAGCCCGGCACGAACACAGGCCGCCGACAACCTGCGGCTGCCCGCCATCAGCTCCACTCCCACTGTATTGGCAAAACGCACGACACGAGGTAGTTGCAGCAGCCCACCACGCGGCCCCCAATCGCCCAGCGGCCTAATCGAGGCTACTGCACGGGCCACGAGGAGCGAAGGCGCCCCGCGAAGAGGTCCTCGAGCCTCGCCCATTGGACCTCGCCGTGCGCTCGGGCGGCTGGTGACAGCGCCGACAACAGCTGCTGGACCATCCCGGGCTTTGCATACCTCTTGACGCTGCTGTCCTGGCTCCAATGCCCCCTCGACTTCACTTCCCCGAGGGTGCGGCGGGCCGAGAGGACATCCTCGCTCGCACCGCCGTGGCGCAACTGGTATAGGCACACATCCTGCAGCCCCTGAGCCGCCGTGACTTTGCGGAACAGCACCGCCATGTCGACCGCGGGGGTGGTGAACAACGACAGATGCCCTGGACGGCCGTGTGCGTGCTGGGCCAACAGGGGCCCGAGCCAGGGCGGGTTGTCGAGCGGCACTGCCGTCAGGAAGCGGGCTCGGTCCGCCTCGTGTGCGAGCGGGGCCAGCGGGTCGGCCGCCGTCGGCGCCAGGAGGAGCGACCACACCGCCATGGCACCCCCGGCCCTCGTGGGCCGCAAGAGGTCCCTCACCAGCAGCTTCCTCAGCGCTCCCGGGCGGATGAACGTGCTGAACATCGTGAGCACCTGGAGCGCGGCGCCCCGCTCGTTCACCGAGAGGAGTCCCGAGATCGCTGAGCCCACCACCTCGCGGGGCGCGGGAGCCCGCGACCTCGGGGGCACCTTCTTGCCGTACCCCTTCAGCGCGCGCTGCGCGCGAGGCAGGGCCCTCGGCCCCGTCGCCCGCGGCAGCGCGTCCTTGACGGCGGCGACCAGGTAGTCCGCGTCCCCCTTCGTGCAGCCCGCCTCCAGGAACGTGTCGAGGACCTCCAGGACCTGCACCTCGAGCGCCTCGAGGTCGTCGGCTGGCTGTCCCACGAACGCCAGGAAGGCCGCGTAGTACTGCTGGTAGGAGAGCCTGGCCGAGGCACCGACGGCTGCGTTCTCGCACGCCGACGGGATCGTGGCTGTCACCTTCGAGGTCCGCACCGTCGCCACCGCCGCCGCCAGCCGGGGCCGAAGCCCGGCAGCGCCGGGCGCCGCGGCCGGGCGGCGCATCGGCGCGGGCGCGCCTGCGGCTGCTGGGCGGCGAAGCGGCACAGGCGCGGCCACCGCCGCCGGGCGCCGCCGCAGCGCCGGCGCGGCAGCGGGCCTTCCCAGCCTGGCCCGCCTCGGCGCGGCTGGAGCTGGAAGACGAGCAGCACGAGCCTTCCGCACGGCGCGCTGGACCCCCTTGGTGGTCGACGCGCGCCCGCGGCTGTCCTCCAGGCAGGGCGCAGTCCCTCCAGCCACGCTGAGCGGGCCGAGCATACGGCCCACAGGGCGGCCGAGCGCCCCGCCGCTCCCAGAGCCGACTAGGCGCGTCGGCCGGGTTTGACTCTGAGGCGATCCAACGGAAACGAGCCGAAATGCTACAGGCTATGGACAGAGCGGTGACCCGTCGACAGATCTGCAGGAGGCCGCGTGATGTGGCCCTCCCACGCTCCAGAGCAAGCACGACCCCAAAATTGTCAATCAAGTACAACCTCCTGGAGTAGTGCCGCCCTGGATCTCTCGCATCACGGCGCAAAGCCCACACAGCGGCCCGTCCCTCCTTGACCCCGATGTGCTCGGCATATCTGAAGGGCGCAGCGTACACGACACGAAACTGAGCTCCAAGGACCTCAGACGGGACCTCGGGAAAACCGACAGCGCGCTTCCAACCACGCTCCGACGGGTTCTCCCAGGCAGTGCGTGGCACGGTGATTTCGTCCAGGCCGTCGAGGGCCCGGGCCCGGGGGGCCCACTCAGAAGGTTCCAAGCGACGATACCTCCACCTCTCCCGCCATCTCCCAACATCCGCTACGACCTCCCTGGGAAGCCTGGCCTCGGTTACTCCCATCCCGGTGGTGGACGCGTCGGTAGCAATGACCTCACTCGCCCACGGCAAAGACAGGGGAGACTGCAGATGGATGCAAAGGGTCGCCATAAGCCAACACTCGTAACGACAACTTCTCCAGAGCACCTTGGGCCTGTCGTAAGAAGCCCGGACAAACTCGCACACCGCACGCATGATCGAAAAGCCTGGACGGCAGAAGAGACAGGCAGCAACATAATGTCCCAAGATAACCTCCAGCTGTCGGCCGCTTACGTACGGGCCCGTTGCGAGCCAGAACAGAGCCTTCCTGACCACCAGCAGCTTTTTTAGAGAGCGGCGGGTGAAGGGG